ATTAAACTACATGTATTACAAGGTTAAGTCTTGATGTCTCTTGTTGTTTGTATATATTTCTATTTTCTTTCTGTACTTATAGGTACACGTGAAATCGTACGAAGGGTAAGCGCTCGAAGGAGGTCCGGCAGAAGACCTACAACACCCAAACCATCCCAGGTAACTGCGAGCAATGAGAAAATGACGCAACGTTCCTCTTCGAGATTCTCGCGTGCGTCCCACGGATCTCATAGACGAGACCGCGGTGATGTGTCTAGCGAGCCAGCGGAGAATGACAGTAAGGCTTCTTTACGGAGTTCAACTCGTGGGTCGAGAAAAGGTTCTAGTAAATCACATGTGGTCGAACTGGATGAAAGGTAGGTCAAGGGCAGCGAACTCTTTATATATCTCGAGCAAGAACTTCAACGTCCTGTGCAATACAATACATTATAATATAGCATTTGTAAATTCTGAACGCTGATTGGCTAAGAGCCGTGTTGATATAACTCAATGTTAACACGGGAAATTTTCCGCCGCTTGTAAAAACGGAAATTTTTCTTATCGTTCGGGCTTTTGACATTGCTAAATTTTTAAAAAATTATAAAACATTTTTTCCGTATTGATATATAGTTATATCAACACTCGTGGAAGTTGGGAAAACTCGAAATTGTATGAAAACACTCCGCCCTTCGGGCGTCGTGTTTCCATACAATTTCTCGTTTTTCCCAATTCCACTCGTGTTGATATATAAACTGTATATCAACACGTCCCCGATATGTTTTATATTTGTTAAATACAATACAATAAAACTTTATTTTAACACGGTAAAATCTCCAGTACATTAATTAGATAGAAAAAATAATTACAACTGATTTCCAAGATTGCCGTGTGGGAGTCATTTTACAAATTATAGTAATAGTTTAAGGAATTCTTAAATAGTGGTAACGAACGAAGCATTCGTATATTTTGAGGCAGATTATTCCATAATAAGGCTCCACTATAACAAAGGCTTCGTTTTAAATAGTTAGTTCGTGGCTTGGGAAAATTTATTTCAGAGTTTCTTAAGTTGTACCCACTGCCATGAACAGAGAAAAGATTTTGTAGGTAAGATGGTGCATCACCATTGACTATTTTAACATAATTCCAGCCTTAATCTGCCAGTGTATGTAGTGGCAATAATAAGAAAGTTTCGGATGGATAGGGTTACAACGACCTGAAAAATACAAGGAGAACTTTGACATTTCAGCGAAGGCGCTTCCTTCTCCTTGTATATTTCAGGTAGTTGTATCCCTATCAATCCGAATCTTTCTTTAGACGAACTTTCCATTCTGTGCAAAATGTTGCGCGATCGACTTTTTGCGATCACTTTCTTTTGAAATACAAACAGTCAAGCGGAACAAATCTCATTAGCTGTGGTTGACTGCGCACATTTCAAAAGAAAGCGATCCCAAAAAATCCATCGGGCGACATTTTGCACTGAATGGAAATCCACCTTAAGCAAGAACTTGAGTCGTTCGGCCTACAGTAGAAGAAAGTGAAGCTGGAATAGACCTTTCCCCGTATGAGTGAAATTTTGATCTAGATATCAGCCTGATGATATTTCACATCAAGAAAGAGCATCACAAAATTGATCAGTTTGATCATCTGATTATCAATTTCCCGTTTGTAATACAAAACGACGGAAAAACGGCAAACTTCGCAAGGCTATATTATCCGCATTTTACAACATTTCGCAACGAAACTTTGGAATATTACTAATTTTGTGATGCTCGTTCAAGCTGTGATGAAATTTTTGTCCAGACCTGTCTAGATCAAAATTTCACTCAAAAGGGGAAAGGTCTATTGATGTGGAATATTTAATTCAATATCTCATTCCCATCTTCTCCTACAGCAGTTGTGTGGTGAATGTGAAGACGCAAACTGCGTCAGTTGACCGAGTACCCGGTGTGGAAGATGGAATCGAAGTTGGACAAGATAATTTAGGAATGGATTCCGTGGTCGAAGAAACTGGGACAACGCGAGAAAATTGCCCAGGTACGCACTATTAAGATTGTTAGCGTGGTGGGCGA